GTAGGATGAACAAAAATAAGTCCAAAAAGGCAGGGAGCCAAAATCCACAAATCCAGAACATGAGAACAGAGCTCACCTAGAGCACAAACTGGGGACGGGACAGGAAGCTCACACAAAGCACCAAAACCACACTGACAAACAACAATGGACCGACAAGACAACGAGAAACAGACAGGGCTTTATAGACTGGGGCATAATGGGAGGCAGATGAGCTGCAGGTGTGTAGGGAGAGAACCAGGTGAAGGCAATAACTAATCAGGGAGCAGGAGCAGGAAGGAGCAGGGGAGGACACCGGACCTGACTGGGGAAGGACACATACACACACACACACACACACACACACACACACACACACACACACACACACACACACACACACACACACACACACACACACACACACACCTAGCTGAGAAGGACATACACAAAACTGAAATGATAGACCTATAGAAATATGGTGGGGAGACCAAGAGAACATGAAGAAAACCAGGAGGGAGCTGGGGACAAAAAGGCTGGAGCTACAACTGGAGGGGCTGGGGATGACTTGAAGGGCTACAAACAGAAGACACTTACACAAGACGCAGACAAAGGACACAAGAGGGCGCTATAAGAATCAAAAGGGGAATCTAGAGAGGGATGGAGGACATCAGGAGACACATGGGGAAAGACGCAGACACAGACCATGACAGGCCTGCGCAGGCGTTCTGTAGATCCCAGCATGATGATTGACTCAGACATCGTCCTGTGCTATTTAAACAATGAAATTCATCAGTGCCCAGCCTAGCACCTGCACCAGTAAAAGGCTGGAGGCTTTTATATTTGGAGCTATGGGAGAACTGGAGGAAATATAGTGATTCTGGTATGAATATTAGAGATTGTTAGACCGAGAGGTCTTTCTCGGTGTTGGCACCTGCACTTTGGAACCAGTTGCCTTTGGTGGTGCATCAGTCACCCTCATTGGGGGTTTTTAAGACTCACCTTAAGACCCATTTTTTTGTCGAGGCATTCCAGGATTAGCAAATTTTACCCGGTCTCGATGCCCCGGCCTCTTAATCTTTTTCAGGATTTTATTTTTTGCTTTTACTCTCCTCTTTTAATTGATTTTATGTTGGTTTTACAATTGTTATATTTTATTCTGATGGTTTTATGTTTTATTATGTTGGGTTCAGCACCTTGGGCGTCTGCATTGGTCGCAGAAGGGGCTTTATAAATAAATGAAATGAAAATGAATGAAATGTCCCTTTTAGCGACCATTTAGACCTATTTAAATAGACATGTGAAGAAATGTTCCTGTCTGAATACTTCATGAACACAGTTTTGCTTCTTTAATTGATGCAGCTCATTCAGAGTTTCACTCTGAACCCTTCCCTGTGATGCTGCAGAGGTCACAGTTTACGGCTGTTATTGAATGGTTATACACTGAGTTTTCTGTGTTTGGCCAGCTTAATGAAACCTTGATTTCCCTAACTCCCTCTCTGTTTCTTTTCTCATTTCTCTGCCCAGAGTCTCAATGTCTCTGTCAGTGCCAGCAGCTGCCATTTGGTTCTGTTTGTACAGTGCCCAAAGCCATCTGAATCAACAAGCTGACTGATTAAAATGAAAAATGGGGCTTCACTCTGGGCTTCCTATTTCTGTCTCTAACTTTTTTTTTTTTTTTTTTTTTTGCTTGGCTGGAGATTTTCTCTTCTTTATAGACAGCAATGAACCTCGATATCTACAGCTCTGCCACTTGAAAGAAAAAGTAAAAGCTGTGTTGTATTTGCACAAAAGCATGGGAGCTGCTGTGATTTAAGACGCTGGCTTAGAAATGTTCTTCTTCAGTCAACAGTTGTGCAACATCAGAGGTACAGTTGCTTTTGGTTGATAGATTGACTGAAATATCTACAAGAAATTACATTATATAAAGCTTTGTTTCATTTGTTTGCCATTGCTTTAATTATACTAGTTCAGAAATATTGTGGAGACAAAAATAAAATAAGTAGAACTCAGCTGAAGTAGAGAAAGAAGCACTGGTCTTCACATTACATGGCTCGTGCTCAACTATTTCAGAATGACTAACCCACATAAATGGGTTAAAATCTTAGATGACTGGAGGTGAAAATGAAAAGTATCATTTAACAGGGTAACATGGGTTTTGGCTGCTATGGTATGTGTTTAAACAATAAAAAATGTCTAATGCTTCCCTGTGCCGTCTTTATAAAGCAGTCCACTTTCCTCTGTGACAGCAGAAAATATCACAAATAGCTTCATCACACTGCAGAGTTCTGTCGTGCCTTGCACAGTTGACTGCGTTGGCTACTCGCTGCTGGATGTGCAACGGTGCTGAGCACATCCCTGCTGTTGTCATGTAACCTTCTCACCTGCAGCAATGGTGTCTGCACAAAGTTTCAAAACTTCCTATAATATCCCAAAGTTTTTTTTTTTTATTTCTGACCTGACATGATGTCTTTATCAGCATGCTTAAATATTTTAAAATGAATTAAACACATGAATTTGGAGGAATTTGTGTCACGGTCTGGGGTTTTTTTTCACACACTAATTGGTGTAGAGTCTCATCTCTCCTCTGCAGGTGGGCGTGCCTGGAAGTGGGGAGGCTGCAGGTAATCTGCTGATTAGCTGGCCAGGGATATTTAAGCTCCTGAGAGACGCCTTCACTTCGCTGGATGATTAACTCAACTTGGGTATTTCTCCTAACAGCCAAATCCAAACTAAGCTTTGATTTAGAGAATTTCTGGGTTATGGATTTTTGATTTTTGAGCTCTCTGTGTTTTTGACTGCTTGTTTTGCCTCCTGCAGATATCACCTATCAGTTCACCTTGGTTGCTGCTACCAACCTGGTTTCTTCACTGTCCACTCGTCTCTCAGCGTCCTCCTCTGGTCTTCCCACTCCAGGCTGCCCACCCTCCCTCCTGGATCACCATTACCCTTCATGCTCAGCTCCCTCCTCATTTGGACTCCAAGCTCATCAGCCTCCAGGTAGCCTCCTGCCCTCCCCAGACCAGTCACTCCTCCCTCTCTCACGAGGTCTCCCCTCCAACCTGTAAGTTCCATCAGATCCAACATTCAGATTTCCGAGTGCCAGACCTAACTCTCCCTGTTCCTCCAGAATCCTCCACACCCGAACCTCGCTTCTCTGCCGAATACTGCTAGACTTCCTAGCAGCTCCTTCTGTTCTCCTTTACTAATAACTTATTGTTTGCGATCTTCTTTGACTCTGGCCTGATTCTGTATGTCGTGGGTTAGGCATCTACCACACATCATGACAATTTACAGACATTGAAAGAAGTGGACCAGTGTTTATTTAAGACAACATAACATTTTGAAATTTAAATATTTTTTTTAAATGTTCTTTTAAAGTCCATCCAAAATATGCACATAGAAGCTATAATGACATTAGTACAAATGTATTTAACATCTGGATTTTGAATAAACTGTAAATCTGTGTTGCAAATTACCTGTTCTAAATTTATTTAAAATAATACAAATATCTATCTTATAGATTTGAAAGCAGATCAGCAGGTGATTATATGCATTTATCCCCTCACCTCTGGAGCTTTTGTCAGAGTTCTAATACATTTTATTTATGAAGTACATGTTAAGAAAAATCCTGCACAATAGTAACCATTGCAACAGAAAGAATGGAGCTGGTTCAGCTCTTTAATTGAACTATTAGCTTTCAGTCAGCCATTACATTACACTTCTCTACACTGTAAAGCCTGAAAAGTTAATATAACTCTATTTATTTTTTTGTGAAACTGATTACATAAAAATGTTTGGTTAATTAAACAAAAATGTTTTTTTAAAACACTTTAGTTGCTTTAAATTCATATTTGTAAGTAAAGTGAATTTTTTTTGTTAAGTACATATATATTTTAGGGTATTCTCTACTTCACATTCTTAGTTTGCAGTACCAATTTAAATCAAGTATAATATACTAGAAAATTTTAACTTTGCCTCTGTTAACCCAAATCATTTGAATTTACTCAAAGCATAGTGGCAGGCAGGTGACGGCAGAAGTCAACACCAACACTGAATGCATCACACACCCACGGTTGCTGTCAATGTGTGAGTGGAACACCTAAAACCAAGTCTAAAGAACTTAGCGTGAACCACCAAATCATTAATAATAGAGGAACGTCACAGTGTAGTCAACCTCTTCACTTATGGTGCCAACATGACACAAATAACAGCACATTTGTAACACTGTACAAAGTAATAACTAAGAACATACAACCCCACCACAATAAACATGCATAAACACCCCCAAATAGAACAAAATAACTAAAAACATGGCTACCCACAATGCACATCACCTACCAGTTAGTAATTGTTCCTGAAATGCACCAAAATTGCTTGTCCTTGGTTGTTTTTCTTATAGGTCCACAAATATTTAAAAAATATATATGTCTGTTTATCAAACACATTTTAAGGTGATGTAAAGATGAATAGAATAAAGTTTGTAGCATGCCAAATGGCCAAGTATTTAATCAAAATGACTAGAAGGTAAATTTTAACTTACATGCCAACCTTCATACAGGTTAATGTGACACCGTGGTGCCGATTTGAAGTCTATGAACTTGCCCCAATATTCTTAATTTATCCTGTGGTATGCCAGAATATCAAGGCTGCAAAAGACACAGGGCTTCTTATCTATCCTCTTTGAATAAAGTTTATCTTCCCTGGCTCATAAATTACTTTATAATTTTATTAGTGTTTTATATATAAACATATTTTGTTGAATGAGCAATGTTTAAATCCAATGTGTTTTATTAATGTATCCTATGCTTTACATAATTGAATGATGGGTTAACATGAATGCTTTATTCCTGTAATGATTAATTTCAGACCTTAAATTACACCAGATTAGTAACTGTTGACTTTAATAATGTTAGTGTATCAGTAAATTCACATATCACTATATTATCTTAAATGGTTAAAACATTTTTGCTTCACATAACTGTTTAACATTTTTCTTCACACACAAAAATAACCTCTGTAAGTATCTAAGGGAAGGAGGGATGCCTGAGGTATTTTGGTAACGCCTTTAAACTTGTCACGTTCTGATTTGTCTAAATTTGCAAACTAGTTAATAAAGGCTAGCTCACCTCCTGGGCTAGTCAGCCACCTCCCGGTTCGACCGACTGGGTGAGCAAAGCACTTGGAACCATCCTCTCTTGACTCAAGGTCAAAGCGTCTTTGCAATACTTGTAAGTGGTATCAGACGCTACAACTCCTCAGTCACGGAACGTCTTACTAGCAAACCCTGGTCGTATCTTATGGTCGGTGATAACTGAATTCAAAGGGAGCTACTGTGGGTTTATGTAGTTTTACAAAAGAGTCAGAGACGGGGATCACCATCTAACAGCGTGGGTCTTTAATCAATCTGTTCACAGCATACAGGACAGCCTCTTAGACCGAAAGACCCCAGACCAAGCGTGGGGTGCTCCATTTATCCCCTTCTTGCTACGTGCCCACGCTGCGCGCTACATGCGCAACAGTGTTGACACAGCAACAGGAAACATCAGGAAACATCTGTCCACTTCTGATAAGCACTTATTATGAACACGTCCTCTTACTGGATACTTTTGGCTGGAACACAGGATCATTCTGATTCACATCAGTCTACTGTTAACATGTCAGATAAGTATCAGACTTTACTGGAAGCACATCTCAACGTTGGCCAAAACAGCAAATTCCTTTGGAGCTGATGGGGGAAAAAACAGCACACGGACCTCTCCCATCAGGTTTTAACCCAAAGACTCACTATTCAGCTCGATACCTTTTGCAGATGACCTCTTGACCTTTCTGGCCACTACACTACGACTCTTTGAGATTCCAGGCGCCACTTCCTTCCAGTGACATCACCAATCTGGCTGCCTTTCCTCCGGACCACCGAGAGCTCACAATGCACACTGGCGTGGGACGGTTTTATGAATAACTGAAAGCTTGTCAAACCATACAGTCAGACTGATTTTACAACCCAAACAGCTCAAGATTTCTCAAATACTTAATAAGATTTTGCTACAAAACATGAAAACTTACATTCAGTCATTTCATTCATTGTCTCATAATCATGTCCTATTATCAATCACCATCTTTTTTTCCTGGATCATCGATTTTTTAGAAACAGAACTAAATTAATTTTTATAAACTATACCCTTGACTCTGTCTGAATTAATATGAAGTGTGTGTTCCCTGAATAGTCCAAAGCACCCTACGTTAATATTAAATCAAATATTCAAAGAACAATCAGATTGATAATTCATAATTATATGAAATATCACATCTTATTGATGATTTAATAAGTTTAAAGGGACTTTACAGAGTTTTGAATTTTTATGCTCGTGATTGCCCCCTCAGGCCAAAAGGGTAACGGCAGCTTCAATAGTAGGCTCGTGCACGAGGCGCCCATGCTGTACGTGCACACTCCTTAACAAAAATAACAGCTGAGACAGTCCCGTGTGTGTGTGTGTGTGGCCCGGAGGACAGAGGACAGGAGAACGCGCAGCTAATTAATTAAATAATTTGGTTCTGTACCTTTCTCTTCAGCACAGCCGACAAAGGTTTAAGATGGGTCAGTCCTCCTGCATGCTCAGATCATTCCCTTCCCTTGTTTGAAAAATTGTTCCAAAATGAAAGTTGAACCTACATCCTTTTTGTCTGTGAATTCAACGCCGTTCGGCGAGTCTCAAATAAAAATTTGGGCATCTTACTGTAAAAAAAATATACCATTAATGTAAAAAAGAAACTAAATGAACTATATTCCCACCGAGAATCGAAGCCAGGTCTTCTGCATGGAAGACCTGGGGCCCATGGACATCTTACAAAGTGAGCCACACTCTCCTTGCATTCCCAGTATCTGTACCTTTTATATCCTTGATGACACCTGAAACAACGTCAAACCAAAGAACGGTTCGAAGCGAAAAAGAGGAACAAAGAAATGAATGCAAGTCACTGGAGCCAATGTTTTCTTATTCCGCTTGTTATGTGCCATGAATTTCAAATATGATGTCTGTGAATTTTAAAGACATATTTTGACACCAAGACCGCACTTATTTGCTAACGGGGGAAATGCACAAGAGGGTAAAGGTCACAATTCGGTGAAATCTCTGTTTTACTGCAGCAGTCAGAAAACGATGCTCCAGCACAGCGTGTTGGGAGCTAACAAAACAAACACTTGGTCACCCCGCATCATTTTTCAACACTTAGGGTTTGAGAATGTGTTGGAGAAAGCCCATATCCTCTCTCTCTCTCTCATTCTCTTCTTCTTTTTACCTCCTCTCCAGTCACAGAGACCCCCTACTGGTGACGGAATATAAATGTATATTCTTGTTTGCCATCTTGTGTGTGTCCCAGTAACAGGCCTGTTGCGTTTAACTTTTTGTAGTAGGATTTTCACATATTCCATTTGTTACAGAGGCCTGAGCCAAATGAGCAATTCTTCTCACCCTTTTGTGCATCTTATCAGCCATGTAATTTACAAGCTTCTTCATTGCAAAATAAAACAAAACAAAATAAACCACTGGTCATCAGCCGAGAGAGGGGATACAGCTGGTCTGGCCACCAGTCCATCACAGGTCAATGTATCCCATTTTCCTGCCGTGTTTATATGTGGTCACAAACACCAGTTTTAAAACTGGGCAGCATGGTGGTGAAGTTGGTAGCACTGCTGACTCAAAGTCACAGGTTCTAAACTTGGAGTTTAAATGTACTCCCTATGGGTGTTTTCTGAGTGCTGCAGATTTAGCCCAAAAGGCAAAAACATGAATGTTCACCTGAAACTGCAAGTTGCTTTGGATAAAAGTGATAAATGTTAAATGTTTGTTTACACTAAAGTCATGTTTGATCTCGAGAGATTTCCTTTCTGACCAAGGTATCGGTTAGTGTATAGTGTTTTCCTAGTTGCGGTACGCCACAGGTGCTATAGTTTTATCACCATGTGCTCTCTCATGCATTGAAAATCCATCCATCCATTTTTGACCACTTCTCTGGGGTCAGGTCACAAGGCAGTAGCCTAAGCAGGGAGGCCCAGACTTCCCTTTCCCCAGCCACTTGAGCCAGCTCTTTGGCTGGGGAATCCTAAGGCCTTCCCTGGCCATCCGTGAGACAAAGTCTCTCCAGCGTGTCCTGGGTCTTCCTTTAGGTCTTCTCATGACCAGATACTTTGAAAATCGTTCCAGTAATTTAAACATCTTGCTGTGCTTAATGCAATGGTCCTTAACATCTTGTTGGCTCTTTGTCTGTGGAAAACCAAACCAGTCTTAACGCTTAAAAGAACCAGTAAAGAACCAGCTTTAACATCAGCCCTGTATAGAACTAGTGGGGAATATCCAGTATGTGTTGGCTTCCCAAATAATCAGAATCAGAATCAGAATAGGTTTATTGCCATTGTCAGTGAACAAACAATTCACAAACTAGGAACTTTCTTCGGTACTAATAATTTTCCACTGTTGTAAAGTTTTTATGTGAAATCAGAGTAGTTTTCAAATGAAATGGCTCTAATGAACCACATACTCCAAAGAAAGTAATTTATCCCTTAATAACAATTGGTTTGGTGCGGTATCTTAATGGGACTGTAAAATAGCTCTTGGCAGAGCTCTTCTTCCATCACCAAGCAGGATTGAGCTCACACTGAGCATTCACACTTGTTATGATCTTTGTGTGATACCACAGGCCACAATGGGTGACATCCTTGGTAATCAGCACCCGCTGCCTGTGACAACAGAGGTATATGTGTAGATGACATGTCATGTGGTCCCATACTGAGTCATCTTGTGTGGGTTTCATAACATGGAGAATGAAGGTGTGAGGCTAGACATAAAAGAGAGGAGATCGCAGTAGGAGACGAGGAGGCAGCGGCACACATGCAGAGTTGGGTGGTTTGTGTGAATGGCTAATGACGAACAAAGTCATCCACAATTCTCATATGGGATAGGAAGTCATGGGCGTCAGCTAGCACCCTTCCAGATGCACCAAAGCGTGAATGTCTCCTGTTGGCAAACTGTTAAAACACCTCCCACAGTCTAAGATGGTTTGACTTTTTATGTGGATCGGTTGAAGGTTCTTTATTTAGGAGAATGCTAATTGCACAGCCCACTGAGAATGTCTTGTCTCGTTTTTTTCTAAAGTTATACATCACAAAGATTAGGCGTATTTATCGTGGATACACTGCCTCAATTAAAATATTTCTAATTGTTTTCTGCATTTTCCCGTACTCAACCTGTCTCATAGGTTTAATTATCAGCAAACAGTTCATTATTATGTTCTGTTTACCTTGAAATCAGCAAATAGTTTCATCTTTTTTACACATTTTAATTAAGGCAGAAATCCTCTGTCAGACAGGAAGTTCCAGTGTCAGGAATCATGTGCAAAAAGAGTCAGAACCCCATTCTAACATAATGTATGCAAAGTAACGCGTTAGGCATCTGCTAACAAAAATATGTCATTCACAAGCGTGCAAACACACATTTGTGCGAGTCCTGAGCAGTGTTTTTGAGCTGTTTACAAATCTGTGAGGACAGAGCAAATCATGGAGCAGCAACAATTGCGGAACATTATGTGGGAATAATAATAAACATAGAGGTGCGTGCTCTTGAAGGAGAGGAGTTGGTCCCAGCTGAGAGGGGCTTAAAGGCGCAAGGAGAGGTTGGAGTGGTGAGGATGGTGCTGAGCGTGGACAGCCTCTAGGATATTCCCTCTGAGAAATTAAGTCCAGATTTCTGCTTTGACATAAAGGTAAACAATTGTCTTCTAAAAGCTAAAACACAAGAAACTTTTCTGTCCTGGATTTATGGAACTCATTCATGACTTTGGATGACTTTGAAGGGATACTCAGCAACTTTTCCAATGTTTTTAACCCTCTGGAGGCAGGAGTTGCAGATTTGCAATGTTAAAACCTACCTACCTGGTTACTCCACACACGCATTTCATGAGCATTTTTTCAACTCAAAAGTACCCCTGACGGAATTAGTTGTTCGTCCTTTTTTCAAAACTTATTTTGAGCCTGAGAGGGTTAAAGCCTTTCCTTGAGCTAGTATATGCCAAAATGAAGGCCACCCAGCCTCTATCGCCCCCTTTGGCCAGAATATTCCACTTGCAACTTCAGACTGGCGGGCCGCTCTGTTGGACTCGGACAACAACATTGCGTTTACATACCTGGTGCTGCAGTCTGGTTCCAGCACGTTTCCTGCATGTTTTAGAGTATGAACACATATGATTTGTGTGATTTAGTGATCAAATGCTCCTGTAGAAACTAAGGAAGGCTGGGAGACATTCCAGCTGTTAGATGAAGGCGTTAAAAAAATGAATGCACAGCAATGAGATGGATGTTGGTTTTGTTTCTACATACACTAAAACTAAGCCAATACTGCCTAGTTCCCCTTAAAAGCCACAGTGTGTAATATTTCTACTTTTTTTACGTGAAATCTGTGTATTTGTTCACAAACTTGTCCGTTATCATTAATGTTTTTCATCAAAGTCTATTTTAAACATTCCTGTTAGCTTGAACTTTTACCTTTTTATACATGAACTGCAGTCAATGCTCCTTAGTCATGCACTATCTTGAAAGTGTCATGGTCTGGGGTGAGTCCTCCTCTCAGTCTAACCTTCTCTGAGCTTCCCCTGCAGGTGGGCATGTCAGGGAGTGGATCAGCTGCAGTCCATCTGCTCATCAGCTGGCCGGGGACATATAAGCTGCTGGGAGACATCTTCACTTCGCTGGATGATTAGCTCAACTTGGGTATCTACGTCTCCAAGCCCATTTCAGAGTATCTGTATCCGAGATCTACTTAGTCTAGTCTCTAGCCTGAATTCCCCAGTTTGGATGTTTGTTCTGAACCTGCTTGATTTTACAACCTGCCTTCTCTCCAGATTTTCACCACCACCTTCATCATGTACCTGCAACCCATCCGGACCCGTTCCTCCGTCTCCCAGCCGGTCCCTGGTTGTCCACTCCTCCTTGACCACCCACCTTACCGGATCCTGTCCTCGCTCCCGTGCTCAGCTCCTCCAGTCCGCCAGCCACCTGAAACCCCGGTCTCCTGTTAACCGGCAAATGTGTGTCTCTGTTTTCTCACTCCTCCCAGACCACCACTGACCAAGCTACTCCCCCTTCTCATGCTCCCCCCTGGACCACGAATCGTAAGTCCTGACTCTCACCTCAGTATTCCTGATCATCCACTTCCACTAACTGTCCCTCCCTGTCCCTAGATACCTTCTGGAGTCCCAGCTGGATTTTCCTGCTGCGCTTTATGTTTACCCTTTTATAATAAACCTTATTTCTTATCATATCCGGTCTCAGTGTATGATTCTGTATGTCGTGGGTCAGACACCTTCCCCTCAACATGACAGAAATACCCTAGCTGCTTAGGGACATGCAACATATGATGCTTCCTGATTCACATTGGTGCTTTGACAGCACATTTCCACTCCCTCTAATGTTGTGTCGGGGTGGTGCTGGTTCTCTCCATGTCAGCCTCACTGGTTAGGGGAAATCCTGTTGCTTTCCCTTGGGCTGCTTGCCCTGCTTAAACTACATGTGAAAGCTAAATTGAAAGCTGAAAGTCAGTGGTGGTGCATGCATGGCCACAGGGAAGAGGGAGACAAGTGGCGCAGAAGACACCACAAATGCCTTGAGCGCAGCAGACACATGGCGGATGTGTGGCAGATGCGTTACATGCGGCAGAAGTGCCAGCACTGGAGCGAGACCTGTTCTTCGCATAATCACAGGACACCAACAGAGGGTTGTCTGATCCCTGAAAGAGACGCTGACTGTAGGAAGCAGCAGAAACAGTAAATAAAACATGCAGTCAGTTGAAAGCTGGTGTGTGGTGTTTTCACATAGCCTTTTTGATGCATGTGGGCTACTGTACTGCAATACTTAACTCTGAGCTGTGAGATACTAAGGAGTTAAATATTTTTTACACAGTGGGGCTTTAAACCCTTGATACCATTTATCACATGATAGAAATGGAGAAGCTGCTTGAGAACCAAAAGGGTCCAAACACACACTCAGTCACAAATTTTCATTAAGACATCTTCAGTCCTTTAGTTTTTAAGACCTTAACAGCAGTCTAAGAAAAGACAAAGGTGCGTAAACGTCTCTGTTGTATATTTCCTGTTTTTATTTTATTTTCCCTCGAGTTTCTAAAGGGTATAACTGATAGCCAGATGACCTTGAGGGGATTGCAATGTCATAGAGGTTGAGGTGATGGCTGACTTGCCAAATATGATAAAAGATGGACAGAACTTTCCAGATCAACTATCAATTCGGGTATTTGAAACCTCAGAACAAAGATTTATTTCTGCAGTTGTCTGCACCATAGCAACACATTAGAAATAGATTGGTGCAGTAATTCCTTTTTCTGATGGAACAAGGAACTGTTGTGATTTAGGGTTCAGCATGAGAACAGGAAAATGTGATCAGGACTGAAGATAGGTTACACTGAGCCTTCTCCTTGATAAACTACAGAACAGCGTATTTAATCTTTCTTAACTAAATTTTTCTCATACCAGTGGCAAATTAGAGTTTTAGCGCACCTTCAAACACTAGCTACATCAAAACGGTAAAATGCTTTTCCCCAAGACTGTAAAAAGATCTTTGATGTTTAATTGAAAACAGGTAAAAATTGTAACAAATTTTTAACTTGGAAAAAAACGATTTTTTGTTAACGCTTTATAATAACTACATCTTATTTAGTCTTAATTACACATGAACAAGCATGTAAGTAACTACTAACAAATAATTAATGAACAATGACTCGTACTTAATAAACAATTAACCAATGCATTATTTAATGCTTTGTTTTTATTAAGTAAGAGTCATTGTTAATTATTTGTTAGTAGTTACGTACATGTTTGTTCATGTGTAATTAAGGCTAAATGAGATGTAGTTATTATAAAGTGTTCCCAAAAAAATGGATTAATAAGAACTTTGTTCATGATTCGTTAATTATGAATATGCCATAAATACACAGCTTTTACATGAAACTAGTCATTAGAAGTTAAGCATTAATTAATGTGTTAGTCAGTTGCTTAAAAGTACTTTGTTAATGGTTTGTTACATATGAATAAGAAATGAGTAAACAGCTTTCACAAGGGACTAATCATTAAAAACAAAGCATTAATTAATGCATTGGTTAGTTGTTTATTAAGTAAAAGTCATTGTTAAGTAATTATTTGTTAGTAGTTACTTACATGTTTGTTCATGTGTAATTAAGGCTAAATAAGATGTAGTTATTATAAAGTGTTACCGATTTTTTCACATGCTAAATTGTTTGTTAACACAAAAACCTAATTATGCATTCACATGCAACCCAACGAGTTTAGTTTGGACTCACTAATAGTAAATTGCTGAAAGAAGATAAATAGCTGTGACTTTGAACACTGTATGGTTGTTTTTATCGAGTGGTGTGGTCTGAGTATGTCAGAATCTAGTCTGGATTTCAGCATCAGCATTCATATAGTTGGGTCAGAATCTGGTGTCACCAACATGAAAGCATGGCTCCATCCTGCCTTGTATCAATACTTCAGGCTGCTGCTGGTGTCATGGTGTGGTGATGGTGATTTTCTTGTCCCAATATGGACCCAATAGTGCCACCTGAGCCTGATTCAAACACCACAGCCTACCTGAAAATTGTTGCTGACCATGTCCATCCCATCTTCTGGTGGCTACTTCCAGCAGGATAAAGCACCATGTCACAAAGCTCAGATCATCTCTAACTGGTTTCTAGAACATGACCACGAGTTCACTGGACTCCAACGACCCCCACAGATACCAGATGTGGGTCCAGTCCAGAACCTTTGTGATGAGGTGGAACAGCAGATTCCCATCATGGATGTAATTGTGTCAATGTCTAAAGTTAATACTGACTTACATTTCTGAGGAACTATTCCAACACCTATGACATGAAGATAAGAATTCATGGTGAAGGGGGGGGGGGGGGGGGGGGGGGCAAACCTGGTACCAGCAAGTAGCTTGTGAGTTTAGTTTCACTTGTCCAGCTATCATGTTTTCCTTGTGTATTTTTTTTTTACGTTTCCCTTAATTTTGTTGATCATTTTAACAATAATATGATTAGTTTATGACAAATTTTTTCTAGCTTTTAAAATTTGTCAGTGTCTTTTTAGCACAGCTTAACTTCAGACAAGCATGTCCAATTTAAATGAATGATTCTGACACTGCAGGCCATGCAGATTTGTCCAATGCATCCAAGCTCATGCAGTCATTCTTTTTTTTTCAAATGTGATCTCAGCTACTTGACAATCGTTATAGTGATACGCATGGCAAAAGACACAGCTGTCAAAAGGCCAAACGGGCGAGCTAAGTTCATCACAAGGTCAGCCTTGAAACAAGTCATTGTAAAGCGACAGTGCTGTCATTAGGAGCAGCATTTCAGTGATTCATTCCGTACAATCATTACGGAGTCATGGTGAATGTCGGATTAGCGATGCTTGCTTCGGGAATGTATTGCTGATGTTGATGTTCTTTATTTGTGCTTCTTTTTTATTTGTAGCTTCATGATGTCACTCTGGGGTGTCTCTTTTTATAATATTCACTCAATTGTGCCAAAATCCCATTTACAACAAAAAGTGTATTTTATTTAAAATTGTGAGATTGTGGTAGAAAATTCTTGAAACAGCGAATAAACTTGTAAAGTGGTAATGTTTCGTGTCTTTAGAAGAATTTACGGATTAGAGGACCTGCCTTTTATCTGGTGGTAGATGTGCTAATGGCCTGACCGTTGGAAACACAAAAAATGTGTGTCTGTGATAGCCACTGCTGATTTTAATTTGCTGGTTTTCCTGAAGTATCATTTAGAAAATTCCTCTTGGCAAGACAATCTGCTTTTAATTACAGATTTGAGCCACATAATACATCAAATCCCCCCCCCCTTTCTGCCGGATGGTGTTGCTGGCTTATATTTAGATGTTTCTTCCCTGCACCCAACATATGTTGCCACTAACACAGACAATAAAACAAGGGGTTTAAAGATAACCAGAAAGCAATCAACATTTGGCAGCAGTTGTCAACCAGTGAATGATTTATGTCCGATCGAAGCTCTGTTTCACCCTTCTTCCTGCCAGTCAGCAGCCGGTGTGTTGCTGAGAAGCAGAGGTGCTTCTTGCGGTTTGATTGGAATGGCGTGGAGTTGCGGCACATGAAAAAAGAGCCAGTGTCACCTTGTCACTCTCAGGCACGCCGCCAAACTGCTGGCGGGGGGTTGGAGCGGGCATGTTGCCGATGAGGGGTGTGTGTTGAGCACTGTGGTGATGAATCATTGTGCTGTTCAACTCTCTCTCTCTCTCTCTCTCTCTCTCTCTCTCTCTCTCTCTCTCTCTCTCTCTCTCTCTCTCTCTCTCTCTCTCTCTCCTGTCTGTGCCTCCTCACCCCACCCTCCACCTCACCCCATCACTAACACTGTAATTATCTGCCTGCAGAGGGTGGGACATCTGCAATAACAATAGGGTCTGATCATGTGCGTGTGTTGAAGGGTGACTCACTAAAAATGGAGAGGGTGTTTTGGTTTGAACTGAGTTGAAATTCTGTTTTTCTGCATCGTCCAACATGTCCCACTTCTGATTCTAATCAATATGGAGATTCTCAGACACTGCACGTTGGCAGCAGGTGCACCTTTCTTTCATCCTGTCAACACGATCCATCAGAGGACCTCTGTGGTTAACCTGAAGCCCACCACAACCCAGAGCTCTGCCCATTAGAGGCCCTGTTCGGCCCCAGACTCCACACACTCAGCGTCCAGCAGCTGATCTGTCCGGGGTTTATGTGTAGCACATCTGATTAGAGACTGAGCTCCGAATGTGAAGTCACCCAAGATCAAGGCCTGAGCTGAAATAGATGCTCCCATGGCAGCACGGCTGTCACAACAGCCAAAGCTCCACAGTGGAGACGAGAGGTGGGTGGAGGTGACCCTGAGGGTCTCTGGGTACTGCCGACACACGTGCACAGTCGCAGCAATGGCATCAGGAATGATGGTGATACTTTCTGATATTCAATCATCCAGCAGTTAAACTCTCTGTTATACTTCAAGTGAAAACACACATTATTTTGTCTTTTATTAAATGCTTCACAACCTATAGACAAAAACCTTGGGAAAAATGTATTTTATGAACAATTCTAGAAAAATACATCAAACAAAATTCCCTAATTAATTTATATTATTTCTATTTTTTAAGTGATTAATTATTGTTTGACAGAGTGCTGGTAATACCTACAAAATTATGAATCTTTAGCAACAGTGAAGTTTGAATGTTAAACATTGGCTGATTTCCCTGA